GTACCTGCAACAAGGCGCCACCTTCACAGGTTAGTACCGGACAGAGAGAGAGACAGAGTTCTTCTTCCTCTTCTAAGTCCACCATCTCTTCCTCACCCTCTCGCTACCTGACTTCTCAGTATCTGCAGGCTACGATAGAGAGAGGGATTGGTGACTTCGGGATTTGACGATATATGGATCCAGACTCGACATTGGGATTCAGACATTTGATGAGGGATTGTTTGGGACTGTACAGAAGACTTGGTGTTGACGACATTCCATCTTCCCCTCTTCTTCGTCTAACCCCCCTCTTCTTCGTCTGTGTATAGTTGGGGACTGGCGCATTCTTCCTGTGTGAGCGCCAGTCCCCTTCACACCATGGAATGATGATGATGTATATTTGGTCTGCATGGCAACATTGATTGTTTGGATCATTGGTATTTAAGCCTTCCGCTGTGTTATCTTGTACTTTGTGAGAGAGGTCGCTTCTTGTTCTGGTCTGTACCATTACGGTATGCAACAGACTCGCTCTCACTTTCACTTCACATACATGCAAACAGATGGAGATTCACACTGGCGCAGGGCGCCCACTCAAAGCTTAGAGATATGGAAATCAAGAACACAGTTCAGATGCAAGTTCACTTCAACAGGCTATGGCGCATGGGCGCCTGAACATCCCAACCTTTGTCACTGTGTCCAACCTCACTGTTCACACACGCTCACTCTGGATCACCCTGAATACCACCACACACACACGCTTAATCTCACTTCCTCCTACAGCGGCTATGGCCGCACTACCACTACTAACTAAGGCTACGATCTCCCTTCAGCCCACTTCGTCTTCGGGCAACCTGCAGACCACCTTGCACAAGATGCTGTAGCAGCGCTTCCGCATGGCTTACGCAGCGAATGAATGAATGGCTGGACGCAGCCTCCTGATTTATACTTCTGTTCGTGGCTGGTCTGCCCTTTGACACCGGGCCCTTGGTGCAGACAGTCCCACATGGTACTTGCTGACTGGACTAGGGGAGACTGGGACTGGGTACCACTGACTGCATGGGATGGTACCGCCGACTCAGTGCAGTCGCACTGCTGCCTCGGTGCAGTGGGTTTACCACTTGCCCACTTGCCTCTGGTCTGCTGTGGGCAGTCTTCGAAAGGCCACTTCCGGACCTTCCGGAAGGCTGTGGACTTGGCCTTTCGAAACTGTAGCAGCTACGACCTTGACCTTTCAGGAATGTAGCAGCTACGACCTTGACCCTTCAGGACTCCTACAGCTACGACCTCTACTATAAACTTTGACCCGTACGCGACAGATCTACGGTTCAAGACCTGACGGACACACAGGTCTACGACAGACTACTACTGGCTCCTAAAACACAGGTTACGGGTTCAAACACACACAGGGGTACTGTACACAGGTAGTGAGGTCTAGGGATCGAGCCCTGGGATCTACATCCGCTACTGCAAAAGGGTGAAAACCGTTTCACTCCCAGTAGTACCCCAAATTTCCTCTATTACCCTCACTGCATCTAGCAGTACCGGGCTATCACTAGGACAGCAGGCCCAGTGGGCCTTGGGCTGTAGCAACGGTCTCACGCCGTATAGCCGGATAGGGTCCAGGCCGAACAGGCCAAACTGAAATGGTACCGGTCCCAGTAGGTCTAGGTCTAGAGTAGGCTAGTCTACAAATAGGACTGAGCCGGTAGTTTGGGGACCTTTGGCTGTTCATTTTCGGGACACTGCGTTGGGGAGCCAAGCAAGTTTGGTGGAGGTGATGGTCTGCAGGCGGCATCCTGAAACCCTCGCCGTGGTGTGACAGCCATAGCCAGCCTTCTGGAGGTTGCCATAGCTGGGGCATCCTCAGAGCATCTACCCCTGAGGGTATCTGCGTCTGGCGGGGCTATGCTGAGGCTCTTCATTGAGTATTTGTGGGTGGACCACTGTCACCCATCTCCGCTCTGGAGTTGTCAGGGCTTCATCAGGTGTGGCAGCCATAACTGCCAGCTTCTTCGTCAGAGTGTTCATCGACACTGAAGGCTTCATCGCAGCACCTCTTCTCCATCTGGGCGGTTGGCGCTGGCCTCTGGGAGGCCATTTCAGGGTTGCGCTACTAACTGGGTGTAGGATAGAGAGTGGTGTGTGGAGTTCTGAGGGTGGCGAGATATTGAAACAAACTCTGTAACGATAATTGGTTAGAGTTGGCTCATCATCAGTGTGAATCCTATTGTTATCCTCGCAGGTGTCTTCTTGTGATTGGCAGTTGGGAGTTTCGTCAGAGAGTGAGAAACACTGTGTGTCCACTCCACACCTGTGCATGGTTATGTTCCACTGCCTATTCTCATCTATGTACAGTGTGTACTCTGTCTCCTCTCCCCTTCTTCTTATGCATGTATGGGCGTGTATGAGATTGTCTGTGTGTGAGTTGCGGTGAAAATCGTCAGACAACCAAGTTCATAACAAAATGGTAGGGTCTTTGTGATGCTTTCTTTCGTTTTCCTGAAGGAGTTGCTCCTTGTAAAGAGGTGACATGAGGGACGAGGTTACTTCAATCTGCTGACGATAATGCCCCATCATGATGACAATCGCGTATGTTCATGGTGATGTGGTGTTCTGTTGGGGGAAGACAGCAGTGATGTGCAATCCAGAGATTCATGAACTGTGCCCACACAATGTCATGGGTGTTTTGTTGTGTGCTTGGGCGCATTGAAACTCAAAGTGAACTAAGTAGCTTGTGCATGGGCTGCTTGTGCCTGGGATGGTCGCCTGTCGCTTATGGTCTTGCCAGGGGTGGGTAGGCAGGATCAGGAGTACAAGGCTGGAAAGCGTATGACAAATAAAACATTGGAGATCCAGAGCCTTGACAAGAGAGAGGACATAACAATTGACCTCGTATCAAACCAGGACTTCACAGAGGTATGAGTCTTGCTAATCCCTGTTTCACCTATTCTTGCATAGAAGGTCATCCACCCTGAACACCAAAGCTTATTGGCCGCGCGCACTGTGCTTAAAGTTTGTTCGCTTTCACTGTGCTTATTGTTCGCTCTGACTTTATAGTGATCTGCGTGGCACAAAGTTAAAGTTCGGGGCTTTTTCAATTGATATGCTTCCGCATCATAAAATCTTTTATGACAGTGCTGTGAGTATTCTGGGGTGTTGATTCACTCTGTGTATCGAGAGTAAGTGGAAGATGTTCAGTAGGCATTGTGGATTGCCATGTGAGATGGAAAGCACAACTATTATCTGAAATAAGTCTCACTGTGAACCTGACCGCAATTGTCAGAGTGTTCAGGAAAAAAAAAAAAAAAAGAAGGGAACTTCTCCTTTCTGCTCTGTCAGGGAGGGTCTGTTCAGACACGATAAAACCTGAAACGAAACCTAGTGGTCCAGACAAAACCTGGGACAGACAAAAATGCTTCTCGGACAGGATAAAACCTGAAATGACACCCACTGGTCCAGACAAAACCTGGGGAAAGTAAAATATGGCACACATAAAATATAGCAAAGCTGAAACAGACAAAGGACAGAAGCCCTAATGTGGACCAGCGGCAGATTGCAGAGTGAAGGCCAGCTGTGTCAGGTGGTGGTCCCAGCCTGTGCTGGGAGCCTGAAATGTGGCCCTCAGGCCGCCCAAAATGAGGGCCGTGCGGCCTGGGGACCTTGGGACCAAGTCAGCTTCCTAGGGACACGGAGGAGGCCTCATGCATACCACACACACACTGACACAATATGGGAACACTTCCGAGATTGCTGGAAATTCAAGTCTTATACAACAAGTCTCACGGATGTACATTTAGGCAGCTATGCAGTGTTGCACACCCCGACCGCCGGCGCCCCCTGACTGGTTGGCTGCTGGCACCCCGCAAAAAAAGAAAAATAATAATTATTATGATTTTTGTGTCCAGAACCCTTGATAACCCCGCCAACACCCCCATACCCGCCCCATATACCCCAT